CATCTGTGAAAACAGAACAGAGGTTAAGAAATCTGAAATTAATGATCTGTTGCAAGATTGTACTGATGTGCTTACTGATGTACACGTACCTGGTCATACAAGTCTGATTGAACATACTATACAGTTAACAGTTAACAAGTACCGAACCAGTGTGTTGTAAAACATATCCAGCACCATACTCGATGCAAGAAACAATCAAAGATGAACTGATTGCCCGTAGAAGGTAGATGTTGTTGAAAAATCAGAATCTCCATATGCTTCACCAGTTGTCGTCAAGGAACCAGATGGGTCAAATCAATTCTGTGTAGACTTCCATAAACATTAAGATAGTGTTCGATCCTGAACCGATACCCAACATTGAAGATATCATGTATAAAGTAGCTAAAGGGAAATACTTCTCTTAACTGGACCTTACCAAAGGTTACTGGCAGATACCCATATGTGACAAGAACAAACTCAAAACTGCCTTAATTACAGAAGAAGGGTTGTATCATGTCAAGTTCCCCCATTCAACATGGTAAATGCTCTTGCTGTTTTAACTCCAATGATGCGAAAGTTTTGGATGGGCAAGCCAGTGTTGTTCATTACATTGATGATGTGCTCATTTTTACTGAGACGTGGTAAGAACACATGATAGTGCTAAAACAGGTTCTTGAAAGGTTGCAAGAAGCAGGGCACACAGCAAAACCCAGCAAATGTAAAACTGGGTTTGAATCGGTAGATTTCTTGGCCACATCGTAGGAAAAGGGTTGATAAAACCAAAACCAGATGAAGTACAGAGTGTACTCACTGCAAAGAGACCTGAAACTAATAAACAAGTTCAGTCTTTTGTCGCTCTTGTCAATTATTATCGCAAGTTTATTCCAAACTTCGTGGCGATAGCTGCGCCTATAACAGACCCGACAAAAAAAGGTCAGCCTTATCAGGTTCAACGGACCAATACACAAGAATAGCCATGGCCACTAGCCATAAGCTATTGCCCGCAAAGTCGCCTACGCTGTAATTGAAAGGGAATGTCTTACCCTAGTGTGGGTAATAGATAGGGTTCATGTATGTTTATATGGTACTGAGTTTGTTAAAAACAGACATATCTTGCAGGGAGTCACATTAATAACCATACATTAATGCGTTGGGAATTCAAGTTACAACCGTACAGGTAAAGGCTATCAAGGGCTCAGATAACATCGGTGCCGACTACCTCAGTAGGTGTCCGGAGTACTCAAAGTGTGAGCAGATAAAACTTTAGTAAATTTTTGAGGTGTTATACATATTTGGAGGTTCAAATCGACATTATACATGTACACTGTATGTAACATTAACCAAAAAGAATGTAACTTGGAAAGTATTGTAAAATCTAGGGGTTCTTATCAGAAATAAAAGGATAACATTTGAGTAAATTTTAAATAGTTTTCTTGGGGGAAAGCGATTGTCATGAGACAAGTTTAACACTGTTTCTTTAACAGGAGAAATTGTCTGACATACACACATTTAACTTGGGAGGTTGCAGCCAGCTAAACCAGGATTCCTTGGTTATGCATACGCACTGGGCTCGTGTCCTCTTGTTTATTTCTTGCCTCAGTGTACATGTGAAATGTTAGAAATGTATTAATCGGGTACAGGGAGATGGGAAGGTATATAACCTGTGCCCACCTTGTCTGAATTGAGCTTTGCGGTGTGGTAGCCAGGAAAACCTTGAGTATGTTATATATTACAGGGTATCTTGTAATTCTACCCTGTGTGTTATTAGCACAGTGGCTACTATCCCAGTTTCCCCATGATCCTGATTTTGACCTTGCTATGTGACTTTGATGAATGCTGGCCTAAACACCACATACTTTCCGATGGTCAGTGCATAGCGACCTACCAAGAACATAAGCCGGGGACTTCCTTCTCACATTCTTGTGGTCCAGGGATTCATCTTAAGCCTTTGTTCCATGACCGGCCTTACATTGTATTTATATAGTATTTAAGAGAGTTGTGGAATATTTATATTGTATTATTTTCCTTGCTGTGTAATATATTGAGCCATTTTCCCTGCTTACAGGATTATTTCGTAACGTATTCCCACTGGGCCCATTATACTGACTGAAAAAGAAGTGTAAATACCCGAGTTTAGTTTAGTCCTTTCTTGAAATAAATAACTAATTATTGTGTTTGGCAGATCGTGTTTGGTCTTCTGCTCGTCTGAGTTACGCCTTCATTTTTAGTCTGAGTAGACTGGCACTAGGGTTCACTAAATTCATGTTAATGCGTGTTTTGTTAAAATTTTAATTATGCCCATGCCCATCAACTCGCACCTGCATTTGAATGTGTGCGCCTTATTTTGAAGTTGTTCGTTTTGATATGTTCAGTTCTATCCTTGATGCCGATTACGTTAGAGTTAGAGATTACATTTAATGCTACCTGAGTTCAACAAAGTTACTAAATGAAGTCATCACAGTGGCTGGCTGTCACAAGTGAAGTTTAATGTGTAAAACCGATTGTAGCATTACCAAAGACGGCCTTGTCGCTATACCAGGTATTTATCTCTACAGTAATTTTAATACATAAAGCTTGCGTGTTGCATTCCGTCCGCGGATCCGCCAAGTTTCTAACGGCCTGTTTGGCAGGGATTAGCATGCTCTCCGTGATTCTGCGAAATGTGGATGACACCTAATTGTATTACAGTTTATTATTACATGTATATGTTACAGGTGATCAAATTATCACAGGAACGTGATTGTGAAAAAGAATCTCAAAAAAATGGAGGTAAAAAATGACACGTCCATTAGAAATCACCCTTAGAAAAAGGATGATTATGGCTACCTCATTTTACATTATGGGTTTAGAGGGCACACTACCATTGATCAAGTTTTTAGCAAATAGAATTAGACACAAAGAAAATTTGCATATGTAGAGACTGTTTTGGGTAGGATGAAAGCAGAAGACAGCGGGATACATACCCATTTGGTTCATTTGTGTCAACAACACTGCTCAAAATCTTTGACATAAATGGTCAATTTTCAAATATTAAAATGCCATGAGGCTTGTTTTATGAAAACAGACTGATATTTTCTGTATCTGTCCCATCATATACATGTAAACGTATCAAGAGAGTATATGCATAATCACCATCACTGGTTGTCACATACATGTACATATACCTGAGAAATGGAGAGTCATGTGCAAAACACCAAGATTAACATTCTGAATGCGTGCTTTAGCTATTTTCTCTTTGCCTTAAATATGTTAAAGGTGATAATGTTGAGGGTACTTCGTGTGCCTTCATCAAGAACGTTCCATTCTGGTATTGTTCTGGGATATACATACATGTACATGTAATGAGTGTTGGTAGCTATGATATCATATTTGGAACCTAGTTTGTATGGTTCTATTATTTGCTGAATTTGGTTCTTGGAGATAACTACTAATGTTAAAAGGTATTCATCCCTGACTTTCCTTGTAGATTGTCGTCAGTTGAGAGTTAGCCCTCCGGAGAGTCAGTGTATCCCATTCTAGGCCAGCAAGAATGTTTGTGATGGGGATCCTACATGTAAATGAATGAGCAATACTCAAGTTTTGGTCTGATCAGTGACTTTTATGCAATAAATTTGGTATGAATATTTCAGTAGAAGATATCCCTTTTCAAAAGATCCAACATCTTGTTAGCGTTGTAAGTTACCTGGTTGATGTATGTGAACACAAACTCAAGTCACTGTTGAGCTTGACACCTACTGTGCATGTACATTGTAAAGTACATGTAGGAATGATGCTTCACCTCACTCCAGAACAGAATCAAAAATTTTACATGTATGTTTTGTTTCAACAGGGTTCTTGTGTATTTTATGAATACCTCAGTTTCTTCATCAAAGAGAATCTAAAAGAGACTGTGGTCAAAATTTAGCTTCACTTGAATTGCAACATGGCTTGAAGTGTGTGTGTTTATGTCAAATGAGTGACATGAGGTATTACTTGAGTCCAGAGTGCCCCTTTGCTATGCACCATCTGGACTACTCACATAAAATGGGGATTTTTTCCACCCCCTCCCCTTTTGAGAAAAAAAGGTTGAAGCATGAATTGTAGATATGAGTAATTACTAGAATACTAATTGTCAGCAGTCACATCCATAGGCTTGCCGACATTTAATAGGTGGAGGGGTTTTAAGGTATAGCCCTACACGTAACATAATTTTCAAAACTTTTGAGTCAATCACAGGTATGATAAGGTCAATTCACATTACTCATATACATGTACGTCGCATTCTTGACAGACATAAATTGTGACTTCGAGATAAGCAGAGTTTCAAGTCATCCAACTGGTTTTCAAGAGGTCGCTGTATTTGTTTCTAGCTAGCTTTGCATAACTGTTCCCTAAAAAAGTGAGAGTCGAGGCTGCCCCTAGGTGACCACAACACCTCCGTAAGAAATGACACCAGCCAAGGCATTTTGTGTGTACAAGTGAGAGTGATAATGACAAAATGCAATTTTCTAAATACCCAATGACGATGGACATTCTAAAAAAAAGGAGGATATATTTCTAACACTACAGGAATGTGTTGTGCACACCTCATTTCTTAGAAGGGGGGAAATTTATTTTCGTGGCTCGCATAAAATAGGAAGAGATATTATACCCTACTGCACATTACCCAGTCGAAGTTAAGTGGACATACGTGCACATGCATGAATTCCCCCACCTTGGCTAGAGATCCTATCCTGTGGCTTTGGTGTTGTTAGCAGTAGCCAAATTTGAAGAATGCAGCCTATCAAATTGTTACTCATACAACAAAAACACAGACAACTACATGTACATGTACCTCTGCAATAACATAATTTATTATTACAGCAGTGTTACTTTGCCACTGAATATTCAAGAAAGTACAAGTTCATTGTGTGAGCAGAACTAAATGGTTTTCTTACACCTACATGTACACAACATGATAAACTCACCTGGTTTAATGTTTCTTTTATCAAAGAATATCTGCTCTCCTCAAGACACTTTTCAGAAAAGTAGTCAGGATTTACCATTTCTTCCACGGCATTACATTCAAGGCCATTTTTCAGCCTCTGCTGTGTATGTTGATCCAGTATCTCAGGTTTAATCGGGGGGAGCACCGGCCTGGCAGTCAAGATTTTTTCTTCAGTAGAATGCTGCATAGTTCATTTTCATCCAAAGTCTCTCATCAGGTTAATCTGGAAAATAAATGGATTCCTATGTATACACATTTTTGGAGAATGGAATTTAGTAATGATAAAGGCATGCTGAAGCACTTTCCGACTTGCATTAAGCAAAAATGACATCAGACATTAATCGACAATAGTATAAGACTAGAGCTGGAATTATGTTCTCAAATTCTAAGTGTTGCTAGGTCAGCAAGACAATACGTGATTACTGGTACCGGTATGTGAAATAAAGTGTACACACATTCTTTCCTACCGCACAGGGCTGGTTGCGTGAAGTGAATGAACATGTAGGTAGCCTCAAGCATGCATAGTTGACTGAAATTGCATGCTTCGGCTAGTACAGTAAACTGCTGTTTACTGGACTGTTTGGAGCATTTCAGGTGATAAAGCAAGTGCTACCCTATGGTGGATGAAAATCACGATGGTGTAGGTGTTTGCTGTGAGTCTTTACTTGTGGGGAGGAGTGCTTGCTTACGCAACGCTGACAAATGACTGCAGATGGAAGAAATACGCGTATGCTACTTGATGCAGTAAGACGAGGGATTGTGTTCTACCCACATACTGAGGCTCATGTCGTCAATAAAATTCATCAATAATATTGCTAAATTGTGTGGTAGGTAGGCCTACTGTATTTTTACAAACAGCCAGAAGCATCTCGCCCATAGTGAAGATTACGCACAGTTCAAAAATGTATTAGTAGCAGCCAACATGTTTGGGTGTGTAGAAATGTAAACAGTGATTTATAACTGTCTTACTTTACCACTTTTAATTTTTTTTATTTTTAACATATAAACAGGTTTTAATGTATTATTTTTTGGGCCAGGATTTGTATTAAATGTATTATATTTATTTATCTATTGATTTAAATTAATTGTCACTGGCCACAATACAATTTCTCCAAGAGAGATAATGAAGTGTTCTTCAATTTGAACAATTCAAGACTTCATCTGTCATGATTGATTTCTAAGTGATTTTTAATAAATTATATGTCTTCACATAGTAACTTCCAGTCTGATGACATCACCAGCCTGAATTTTTGCATAAGGCATGTTCTTCATAAAATGGAACAAAATGCAACTCCACATGTCATTTTTCAAAACTTCTAACAGACTGACTTTGATCATGTAAAATACAAATTAGCACCTTCAGATTTATAAACATGATTATTTGGGGATAATTAGGCATACTGTGTACATTTGGTGGACATTTGGTTGGCTACCAGTGCAAATCAAATGGAGTTGAATTCATTTAAAGTTTTATGGCAAAGTACTTGTACCAGAGGACCTCTCTCAAACCTCTCTCAACAAGAAGAAGAATTCAGTATATTTTTCAACTGATGTATTTTAATGCACCTAAGAAATAACTTTGAAAAACAAAAGCCATGAAAAAAAAGAGCACAAAATTGACGGAAAATGATGGGAAAAGTTTGGCTCTTTTCATTCTCTTACTGTTTACATTAAAAAATCAGATTTTTTTTCAATCAGATTTTTCTATTTAAATCAGATTTTTGTTTATTCTGATACAAATTTGAGACAAGTTGGCTCAAATGTCCATTCAAAAGCAAGCAAATTAGGTGCATGTGTACAGTTTTCTTTTATTTATTTGTCTTGTGACAAACGTAAACAAAGTTGGATTTAAATGAAGAAATTTAAATCAAGTAATTTGATTTAATTCACAAACCACCATATCTTAGCCTTGGTGAAGTGCATGCAGTATAACACCTGTGTGCAAAAGCAGTCTCATTTTGTTTGTGATCCAACTTCACAGAGCAATGACCTAGGCTTGACTAAATATCACTTTATTCAGGGCATAAATTTAGTGGTTTTAGTTACACTACGTGTATAATGACTAACATTTCTAATCTCAATAAAATACATGTTTACTTGTAGAGATATAAAAGGTTGATGTACACTGATATTTTACCATGTTAAACCATCATGGAGCAAGGATACAGGATTTTGAGCTGTCTGGGCTAAAATATCTGGCCGATTACCATTTTCTGGTATACCTGGTATGTCCATCGCCAGAGCGCAGCGAACACTTGCTACGCACCACCTGTTTCACAACCATACACCCTTTTAGTACCCTATGATGATCGCCGCAATTTTTCGCTGGTAATCTGCATCCTTAAAATGTTGTACACTGCAGTATAGGAAGTTGAATATTCATGCCATTGGTGGTGCTTGGTATGACCTGAAAACCCCATCAAATTTAATGCTTACGCAGTTGCTTGTTTTAGGCTTTGTACCCTTAGTGTTCATGCACAGTCATTGCCCTTATGGAACGCTTTCTTCTGGAGTTATTTTGGGAATGAATAGCAAAGTTCTTTATGAAATATTGTGTTTTATTTGAATCATTTTTATTATGGCATTTATACAAAAAAGTATTTCATGAGATCTCTTGAGCGCTTCTTGTGATGAAATAGCACATTTTGTTATGAACTTAATTGTCTAATGGTGCTCAACATGTTGTTGGCCAGTCGTTGCCAAATTCGTACAAAGACTTTGAAAAGTGATGTTTGGAAAAACAAAATAAAATCACAAACACTGCATGGATAATGGAACAGCATATCAAAGTAAAATGTTTATTCACGGTGGCAAAAGTAGATATAATGTCAGTGACTTTCTGCTCTCTATTTCCTAGTCACGGCGATAAGTCGATAAGTTGTAGTTAATTACAAACAAAAGACACAAAATATTGCTAGGATATTACTTGGCCCACTTGTCCAGCTAAAGCTGCAGACAGTAATCAGGCATTTTTGTAATGTTTACTATTGTGTGTCTGACCAGGCGGCAGTGCTCGAGCACTTTGAAGTGCCAGAGTTCTAACTCCTTCTGTGCCCTTCCTGAGTCCTCTATGGTTAAACTCTGAAGTGGGCAATTTAAATGAAGTAAAATTAAATCATGATTATAAATCCTTCCTTATAAACGCACTTATAATTACTGAATCCAAAAAGCTGATTTAAACCAACACAAGTGGACAGATTTGAATATCAAAATCTTACAACCCAGATTTTGTGTAACACATGTGCATTCATATTTCTTTAATACTAAGAACTGCAAGGCTCACAGAGGGAATATTTGCTGTTTAAATTGTGCAAAACCTGCCAACATTTCCAATCAGTAACAAAAATTCAAAAATTGAAACACTTTTGCTTTTTTCCCAAAAAATTAAATATGTTGATTTATATCAGTGATTTTTTTTCATATTTCTCCATGAACTCCTCCAGCTCATCAAAATATCTGTTCACCGTTTCCTTAGAGGTGGCCTTTGCTCTCATTATCTCAAGTGATCAGGGTCTCAGGTCAGTGTGCCATGAAGTTGAGAAACCACTGAGGTGAGAGGGGCTTGTCCACTTTCTTCCTCTTCCCAATATGAACTGCCAAGTCAGTAGCAAGTGCTGTAACTTCTGTACGGGTGTAGCCATAGGAAGACATCACATTAATGTGATTGACCCGCGTTTGTTCCTCTTTCTAAAAAAAATAGGAGTTCAGCACCAGACCTACCAGTAGTTGTTTCCAGTTTAATTTTTCCGCTAATTCTATTACAAAGAGCAGAATATGGGACAGACAAAATTCTTGAAGCCTCATTAATTGACATTCCCTGAAGTAAAATGAATGAATCATAAGAATACTGCAGTAACTCGTCTTCCCTTTATTGACCACAGTCTGCAGTTTAAAAAGAAAAAGGTTTTTGTCTTTAAAACGTATTAAATCCTGTTATAAATTCATTAAAATCACTATATATAATATGTTCTTAGGCCTACATGTACTTGCGAGATAGAACGATAGAAATAAATTCAAGGACTGCATCCTGATGCAATTTAATTTGAACTTTGCATAACATTTTTATCATTGTATTTTGATTCCATATGGCAGCTAATGAGTGTTTCAAACAGTGGACAGCTTAAATTGAGCTTGAGGTTAAAAGAGAAAAACAAAACAAAGTCTCCTCAATTTGAACAAGACCGTAACATTTTTGCCACATTAGCAAGCCATAAAAATCCAAGAAGCAAAATGGTAACTTGAAGTGCTGCCTGCCTTCAGAAACTTGCCCAAGCAGACGATAGTTAAGTTTGGAATATTTGGTAACTGATTATGTGTTTTGGGCTCCTTTGGAAATCAGTTAAAAGTGCACTACTAACATACCCAAAAAATATACAAATTATAAATCTATCAATCTATCTAATATTTACGCAGGTAACTTTATTCTCAACACCTTAAAAGTCGGGGATAGCGGTGAGTATGGACATCACATCAAGCACACAAATCACAAATTATCTTGCACGGTCTCACGGTAACGTACTAAACGGGAATAAAATTTGGTTAGCGAAAACACATGACGGCATGATTCCATCATGCACATTATGGATGTAGCCGGTGGAAATTCTTCCTCACCCGGCCCCTTTCATGTATACGGAAGCGTAAAAGGACCATTTGCAAAAAATGTTTCGCGCCAAGATAGTAATTCACCGTGGCGACTTACTATCTCACCGCGGCAAGTTATTTATTTCACCGTGGAGAGTTAGCTAAAACTAGCTCAACTCGCTACATATTAATACTCATTTTGGATACCAGACCCAATGATTCCGACTACTCTATTAATCAAAGGTCCTATCCTAGCTGTATCACGCAATGTTCACGTGACCAACATTCCTCCAGATTTCCGGGAATAGTCAAACAATTCCGAACTTATCCTGTCCATATTAAATTCTGTTTAACGTCAACACAGTTTATTTAATGCTCCTCAAAATTGTAAAAATTGTTACAAAGATTAAAATGAATAAAATTGGTAAGGGGAGAAGAAAAAGACCATTTGGATGGTTTCCAGCTGCGTCTGTACCAAGAATATTCGAAATTATCGAAAAACTTTTTTGGCAAGTGCCCACTTTTTTGTTAACTTGTAATTTCAGATGTGCAATGATGCAAGAGACATTATGCATCCCATCTCTGATGTGATGCGGATACCTGTTTTATTAGAGTCACAAATCCAGATAATTGTAAGTGAAACCAACTACCCAGCCAGGCCAACAAGGTAATTCAGTTCAAGGCTGTATTGCAGTATTTTCAGCAGTAAAGTATCTCATTCCTAATGTTCCTAAGACATTTACACAAAACAAAAACTAACAAGTGGTCCTTAACTTTTTATAGTAAAGTAGTTCAGCAGGCTAGAGCTCAGGTCCACCTGGCATGGAGGAATAAAAACACATTCCTCCACGGTTTAGGAAATTAGCTAGTCCCTATGTCACGTACCAAAATGTATTCGACACCATGGACGAGCCGGGGGTAGACGTAGGCCTACAATGTACATGTACAACAAGCTTCCGATGAGGAAAAAGTAATCATAGCCAATGCTTGCGATACAGCGTCCATGGATACACACCAACCTCAACCACTTCGCAAATACTCAATGCGCATGCGTTACCCTAGTCTCGGGCCAAGATAGACGGCAGAACTCGATAGCGGACTCGATCGAGCATACGCTCACCGATTTCTATTGCGCCCTCTCGTGGCTTCCTTTCACCAATCGGCGGGCTTTCTGTTAACTTTGCGATGGCGGTATCCCTCGATGGCGCTTTCCCTCCCCCGACAAAAAAAAATGATGAAAAAAGAAGTAAAAAAAATTAAAAATTGAAAGGAGTAAAAATGGCATAATTCACTTAAAATGTAAACCCCTTATAATACCCCCCTTCCAATGCTTATCAGTTTGATACCAATGAATGCTTCCCCCAGAAACACCCCCCCCAAAAAAATGGCAACGCGCATACATGGATATATTTAAATAATCATCAGCTTCAACAAGAATATTGGAAAGGGAATGCAAGTCAGCTGAAGAATCCAGGAATACATCTCAATGCAAGCTGTGGTAAATAACTTGACATTTTATTCTTTAGTATAAAAATTCCCAGCTGAATTATACGATAATACAAAGTAAGCATACAGTGTTGTCCTAGTGCAACATTACATTGAGGTGGCGGGAACACTAAAACTCAGACGACGTAGTTCGGCACTTAATGCTTTTACACATCTACAAAAGAATTTCTGCATAGGCCCTATGAATGTTTCATTTGCATTAGGCAATAATTTAGCACTGTGTCCTTGGTGGATGGTGGACTAATAAGTAATGGCAGTCAGTGTTGGTGTTAGTATTAAGTGGTTGTGTTAGGGTGAATGAACTTTTGAGGATTTTTGCCTATGTCAAATGTAACATTCATCCTTCGATTTCCGACAGTAAGAAATAGCTATGCATGCTTCAGTTTCATCCGAGTTTCACTGTTCCCATCTAAAATCGCTTACACCTATTACTCCTAGAACATTTCTCTGCACTTTAATGTATCAAGTCAGTCGAAATATATCAGGAATACCAACTACCTGTCAATGGGCTCTATAATACAAAACACTAAATAACACTGCTAACTTGCGAAGTCCACCATTAGTGTGGTTGTTTTCCTATTGAGAATATACTCATTTATCAGAAGAATAAAGTGGATTCTGTCTTGTTGGCTGATGGAGACAAACAAATGAGCAGAAGCTCTACTTTCACAAAACACCACATCTCTTGAGTCCGACACCACAGCAAGCACGCACCAAGCTCACTGACCGAGCCTGATGACCATAGACTCCCGATGTATTCCTTTGGAAACAGCTGATGGTGATAGAAAGTCTTAAAACTCTGTTTAAACAAAAAATGAAAGCAAAATATTTTCATGGTCCATAGTGCTTTTACATTTTAAAAGTGGGTTTCTTTACTTTTGCCACATCACAAAAGACTCTTATTGATAATATTATACCTCATAATGTGTGTAAATCTTATAGTGCATACTTTATGGAAAAAATAAATTGCCAACCAAATAAAGTAATCTAACTATTACGTAATGAAATTCTCAAACCATAATGCTCCAACAACTCCAAGATGGAAAGTGTAGACCGGTGCTTTGTCTTCGACTGTCTTCATTCTTCGCAAACATATCCTGGACAAATAGGAGGAAAACAGTACACACAATAAGCATCTTCTGAAACAAATTTAGATTCTTTTAAGGGATCAGTGTCAATATCTGAGATTCTTGAGCATAATGAGCTATTTGGGTATTCATAAAGCCAAGGTCTTTTGGGAACAAAGCGCGCGCGAGTCAGCTTATGGCTGCGCTGATAGGACAGACTATCGTGCGCGCGCGTGGCCATATTAATAGCCTTGTGCTGGGCATACGCTGTAGGAATACCGAACTGGCTCATTTACAAAATCTCCGCCGATGTATACTTTCCATCACTATATGGAAATTAAGTGAAACAACATCCTTTGCAGAGACATCAAAGACACACTTCTCACAACAGAATCTAAGGAACCTAGACTACGTTTGTACATCAGTAAGAATCAAGGGACAAGTTGCAAGAATGTGGAAACACTAAAAATACAAAATACTAATCAGAATGGATAGTCACAATATCTTTGGTGGTCATCCCAAGTTCATCCACTTGGTAAAACCTTGCTTCAAGGATTTAGTCCCTGGAGAGTTAACAGAGAAGAAATGGAAACAAAGTTAACTTAATGTCAACAGCAGAACAAATTTGACAGAAACAATCTCTACTGTCCTTTTTAAGGATTTACTAACTGAATAATACGCATAAGCTTCAGGTACATGTTCTTTGCTGTTTAGTCTTCAAGTAATCCTGTGGGAAATTGATATGGTTAAGGATGATCGAGTCAAAACAATTCTTTCATGTGAGTGTGCAAAATGCGTTTCTATTAGCGATGGCATCAACTGATGCATGATGTCTCCGAAGTTTGCTTCAGTTCTTGAAATGCTTCCATTATCCAGTGCCTAGATATCAAAAGACAAAACTCAAGAGAGAAAGAGAAATCAAGATCAAGTTAATTGTCAATTAAAA